TCAGGTTGAACTCCATTCAAATCTTAGTACATCACATACTGGTTATATGATCTCGGGCAATGAGCTCTAGTGAAGACAGTAACAGTGATCATGTGAGCCTTGCTTGGGGAAGGGGAATGGTGTGTGTGTGTGTGTGTGTGTGTGTGTGTGTGTGTGTGTATAAGTAACCAGAGTTACCAGGATGACCTGTCTCAGCCCAGTTCCCATCTCATGGAAAGCTCATAGTACCCAGTAGGTGACTATATCTGTTTACTCCAGACTCAACCCAGTGTTTCTTCTCTTGCCTTGCCACTTGCTTTTACATCCCATCTGGGGGCCCATCGGAATCTCTGCTCCATAATTCTGTGGCTCATATCCTTCTATCTCCACTTTGTCAAGGGTAGGGTCCCCCAGTCCAAGCTATTCACAAGAGGTGTGACAAGTAAGAGGACCTAGAACTACTTACGTGGGACTGCTGGGAGGGAAATTAGCTTTTCAGCTTCAGGGCCTTGCCATGGACCACTGGGGCTTTCTCAACTACCCATTTTACTCTACTTGCTCAGTTCCTGTTTCACAAAGAAACAAGGAAGTGAAAAGATGGGTGGCCTCAGGGCAAGGGTTGGCTGGCTGGGCGGGGTTGGGGAGCACCGCCCACTCCCAGCTGAGACAGCCTTGGAGGGCAGGGATGGATAAACAGGGAGGAAACAATTGCTATTAAATCTTTCATATTTCTTTTTTTTGGGCACAAAGAGTGCCCAACCACTGATTTGAGGAAGTGACCAGTGAGTTGGTAAAATTCACTGCTGACTTGGTTTAGCTGGGTGAAGATAAGCCAGCTCCCTGCCCCCTTGCACAGTCCCAGTCCATGAAGATCTGGAGCCAGCTGGATAGCGAGTGAGTGAGGACTGACTCAGTTAATTTTTATTTTATTTTTTGTTAATATGTTATTTATTTATTTTTTTAGAGAGAGAAAGGGATGGGGAGGGAGACATAGAAACATCAATGATGAGAGAGAATCATCAATTGGCTGCCTCCTGCATGCCCCACACTGGGGACTGAGCCCATAACCTGGACATGTGCCCTGACTGGGAATCAAATCTTGACCTTCTGGTTCATAGGTCAATGCTCAAACACTGAGCCACGCCGGCCGGGCTATTTCTTAAATGAACCATTCAATGTGTATGTATGTATGTATGTATGTATGTATGTATGTATCTATCTATCTATCATCTTACCCATGCGCTTTCCTATTCCAAAAAGGATTTAAAGCATCAAGAAATGTATCTCAATGCCATCATAACCACTGTTGTCACAAATATGTGACCTCAAACAGCTCTCCTTGGGTCCTAATTTGCTCAGCAGAGGCAGTAAAGGAGGGTCAAGCATCCATTGAAAGCCAGGAAGGAGCCAGCACAAAGCTGAGTCAGGACACTGGGGTTTAGTCTTAGCTCTGGCCCCAATGGGTGGTGTGACCTTGGGCAAGTCCCTTTCTATTTCTGGGCTGCTGTTTGCAATTGCCCATCTGTACAGTGAAAGGGATTGAACCCACTTTTTGTTTGTTTGTTTGCTTGGTCACAGAGTTGCTAGCCAGTACTGGCTATGGAGTTTGTGGAGCCTGGTGCAAAATAAAAATGCGGGACCCTTGTTCAAAAATTATTAAAAACTTCAAGATGGTGGTAGCAGAGCACTAAATCAAGTGCAGGGTCTTGTGCTTACTGCACTACTGCACTGGGGATGGCCCATGAAGCTGGCCTGGTGACTACTTCCAGTACAATTTGATAGGAAGCGTATATGGGCTGCCTTTGGCTGGAGCTCTTTCTGTGGCAGCCCTGGTGACATTTCTGAGGAAGCCCGGGCTCTAAGGAGCAGAGCTGGAACAACACAAATTAGATAATTGTTCAAAAGCCTGTCTAGTTTTTATGATTTATATTTTAAATTTGGGTCCCAGCCCTGGCTGGTGTGCTCAGTGGATAGAGCGTTGGCCTGAGCACTGAAGGGTCATGGGTTTGATTCCCGGTCAAGGGCAGGTTCCATCCCTGGCATGTGTGGACAGGCAGCCAGTTGATGTGTCTCTCATATTGATGTCTCTCTCTCTCTCTCTCTCTCTCTCTCTCTCTCTCTCTCCCTCTCTCCCTCCTTCCCTCCTTTCCTCCTTTCCACTTTCTCTAAAAATATAAAAAATCAATCCTTGGGTGAGGATTAACAAATAAATAAGTAAGTAACTAACGTTTGGGTCCCAAACCTTTTCCTTACCTAGCTCCAAAGGCGAGGCAAGAATTGAAGTCATACTGGACAAATAATAGCATTATCATCTCTTCCTGGCTTATAGGGTCCTGTCACATCCAGAATTTATGGGCTCTCACTGTAACCTCTGGAGGCAGGTGTTTACAGGAGGGATAACTGAAGACCAGAAAGGTGAAGGGACTTGCTCAAGGTCACATAGCCAGCACAGCTCTTAGGAAAAGAATCCTAACACTTAGGAAAAGGGGCTTTTCCACGTGGCCTGCTCCACAGTGGCAATCAGGGGCAACGAGGGGTTTGGTAAGCCCATCCTCCAACATACGTAAAGACAAAGGACCAAAGCCCAAAGGGCATTTATTTATCTTCAGTTCATAAGGATGGATGTGTCAAGTGCCTCTGCTTATGCTAGCCTTGCTGTGTGGACTCTGAATGTTTCCCTGCCTGATCCAGAGTGTACGCCTTAAAGCAGGATGGTAAGTGTGCCTGGAGGGACACTGGAAGGGAGGATCTAGGGTGGAAGCAGCCCCCTCTGTAGCTATGCTTCTAGGGTGGGGCTTCCCAACCCCAAGATTTTGGGTTGGAGGGGGCAGTTAAGTTACAGGGAGGAGATGAGGTGGAACCCTAGGTCTTGCACTGAAGAGGGGAAAAGAGGACCGTGTAAGCCACCTTGCACTGAAAGGCCTGCTAGTGGGTCTTGGTCAGACACCCAGGACCCTCCTGCTGCCCGGAGCTTGCCAGAACCGCAGGAGCAGGGGTCAGGGGCCAAAGGTAAAGTCCTGGGCAGGTAGGCACTGGAGAAGCAGGATAGTGTGGGGAACACTGGTTGGGTCTGAGTCCCTGTTCACCAGCTATTTGATCCTGGTTGAGCCTGTTTTCTCATCTGTGAAATGGTGTGAGCCATACTCCTCGCCCTTTTCTGAGAGTTCTAGAGTCATCTGACTGGTTTGAATCCTGCTTTTTTCATTTCCTGGATGAGTGACCTTGAGTGAGTTGGTTAATCTCTATGAGCTTCTCTTGTAAAATGGGGACAATAAAAGAACCTTCTCACAGGCCATGGGAATTAAAGGAGAAAATGCAATAGTGTACCCTTAAACACTTCTTACGAAGGTAGATCTCACATTTAGTGTTCCTACCACAGTAAAATAAAAAAAAAATCGAAAAGAATGCATGTAAAACACAGATCCTGGTACATACTAAACACTCCGTAGATGGTAGCACTGATGACGACGGTGTTGGTGGAACCTGTAATTTTATTATTAGTAGTTGTCTTTGTGGGGTGAGCATGTGAAGGAGCAAATGACTCAGCCAACAGAGGCCCACTGTTGGGTGCTAGAGGCCTCAGTGAGGCTGGCTCAGAGCTGGGGCACTTGGATGCAAGCATTGCTGGTGATAACTGTCACAGGCAAACTAGGCCTGGTGGTCCCAAGCTGGGGGACTCCTCTACCTGGTGCCTTTGCCCAGCACCCTGCCTCAAAGTCTTGGTTCTCTCTTTCCCCAGACTATGCTTCTCTGAGCAAAGATAATGGCCCCAACTTTCCCGGACCACATTTGACAAATACCCCAGTGTGAAGCTTCCCTCTGTTCCTTCCATAAGCCTCCAAGACCTTTAGCGCAGGAAGTAGTTGGCTGGGCGTGGCATGCATGGGAATACAGGAACACTGCACGCATGCTCACAGGCACATTCTCAAGCACATGTGCTCCCCAACCGAGCTTCTGGGAGCCTCACATCCCCACCCCCAGCCTGCCTCCCCCACCACAAAAGCCACAGGTAATAGAAGTCCCCAGCAACACAGCAGACAATGCAAAACCTAAATGCAGGCTTTGTTGCCAGGTTGTTTTAAGTATCTAGCAGGATGTGAGCCCAGGTGGCTAACGGCTGGGCTGGCCAGAGAAAACTACCCTTCCCCACCCCGCAACAACAGTGGCTCAGAGAGCCAGAGAGGGCTGGGAGGTAGGCTAAGGGATTCTCCATGGTGCCAAAGGTCAAAAGAGTTGGACTGCTGGCCCATTCTGGTCCCACCATGTCCCAACCAAACACTGTGTATCTTGGGCAGATCCCACTCTGTCTGGACTCAGTTCTCTTATCTGTAAAATGGAGAAACCAGACACTGGCCTCACAAGTTAATGGTCATCCAAGGATGCTGAAGGATTTAATAGCATCGTCACTGTGGCTGTACTTTGGAAAGTTAAATGGGCTCCTACATGCCAGGAAATCTGAGAGAATGATTCAGCATCACTGTTCAGGCTTTTCCCAACTTTGGGTAGGGCCATATTCCAGAGAGCTTCCCGCATTCCCTCCTACCCCGTGGCCAGATTCCTATGGCTTAAGTCCCTATCCTGTCACTTGGCATGGAGCCCATCCAGGGCTTGGAAGTGATGGGCTCACACGTTGGGGGGAGGGCTGCTGTACATGCCCCTTCCCTGGCTGGTCTCCCTGACCCTGGGGTGGCAGTATGGCATCAGAGGACTCAACCACCCTCCCTTCCTCTCCCTTTATAGGCACAGCAGGAAGCTTGGAAGCCACCCTTGTTCCTTCAGTCTATGGCCAAGCAGCCAGGAGGTCACTGTAGGGCCAGGTACAGGTAGGGGTGAATAGAGGCAACCTTAAGGGCATGGAGTTAGGAGCCAGTGTGAGGGAATAGCTCTGGTGGTTTTAGGGTGGGGCTCTCCCAGGGCCATGGGGCCCCTGGGGGTAAGGCACTGACCTATATTGGCCTTTGGGGTGCAGAAGCAACAGGCTCTGCCAGGTTATAGGTTAGGCCTACTGGGCTCACTGGAGGAAAGGAACTAGCTGGCTCTCCTATCCTGGGGTTGGGAGCCGAGGGTGAGGTGTATAAGCCCAAGAAGCCCTGAGTGGTTGGGGCTTGGTCCTGGAGAAGGAAGCTGAGGACAAAGGTTTCCAGGCAATGGGCCAGCAGAAGCTCTTAGGGCATGGGTGGTGCAGGGTGAAGGGAGCTGAATGACAGGGTTAGCAGGGGAGTCCTGGGCCTCTAGACACTCCAGCCAAGGATGGCAAGAGTAGAGGCTGCCAACAGAGAGGCCAAGAAGGTGGTGCGTGGAGCCCTCGCAGACAAGGGCTCTGTGTGCTGCTGCAACCACTTGAGTTCTTCCAGTAGTTGGCGCTTCTCCAGCTCTGGGCCCACCTTCTCTCGGATGGTCTGGTAGTAGCGATTCAGGTATTGGAGCTGCAAAGGGTAGGAGGGATGAAGTGTTCCTTAGGGTGAGCTGCCAAGAGCTGAGATCTTGGTGCCATCTAGTCCCCTGCTGTGGTAGTCCAGCTGCTCACCTTGGCCCAAGTACCCATAGATACCCCATAGGTGCCCATAGGGGATTTATGCACTTAGTACCCAATCTCTGGTCCTTCCCTTCTGATTCCCCAGCCATCATCAGGCTCAGGCATTCTCCAGAGCTTTTCAGAGGCAGTTTGAAAAGCTTTTCAGGGCTTTTCAGTGGCTGTTTAATGTCATAGTGACTTCCTTGGGGTGTGAGTCAGGGGCAGTGGATTTCAGGCCTGGCAATGACAGTAAGTAGGGCAGGCCTTATCCCATTTTACCGAAAAGGGTTCTGTGGTCCAGAGTCGGGGAGGGATTGATTTTAGTTCTATGACTTGAGTTGGCAGAGTTCAGAGACCTAGTCTCAGACTCCCCAGGAAGTTACTACCTGGTCTGACTGGAGCTTTCAAGAACTCCTGGGGTCTCTGGTGAGGGAAGAAGGCATACCACAGTGTGTGCCTACAGATGCCACCAGTGGGAACCCTCCCAGTGAAATGGAAGGGGCATAGAGTCTTGGGGTAGGGGGAGCAGAGGCGAGAGAGGCCCAGGGTGGAGAAAGCAGGAACTGGTTCAGGGTCTGAAGGGTTGACAGTGCTGAAGGGCACTCACCTGCTCTGGGGACAGCAGTCTGACATCAATGAGATTCCGGTCATAGGGTACCAATGACACCACTTCAAAGGCCAGGTAGGTCCCTGGGTACTGAAAGGCCACAGGGAAGGTGGAAAAGCAGGAAAAGCAGGAAGTGAGTGAGGAGGAGGAGCTAGGCTGAAGGAAGTGCTGGAACACTCCACCCAGAAGCTATAGGCACAAGGAACTGACCCTTATCAAACCCAAGACTCAGAGGAGGCTTGAGTCTCCCACAATGCCCTTGGCTACCTCCCTTTCTACCACTTAGCACCCCACCTTTGGTGGTTCCTTCCTAATTCGTGAATTTAGACTTAAGTCTGTATTTCTCAAACTTTGTGCTTCCACACAGCATCTAGGGAGCTTGTTAAATGTGTAGATTCTGAGACCCATCCCCCCAGACACTGGAGTGAGAAACACTAGGGTGGGGCTGGGAACCTACAATCAAATAATTTAAAGATAAGTATTAGAATTTTATGTCTATCTTTCTATCTCCATATTTCTATCTATGTATCTATTGATGAATCTATAGAGATAAGTATGAGACAACATAAACTGATGAACAAAAACAGATCCAGAGACAGAGAAACATCGATCAGACCATCAAACCTCAGAGGGAAGGTAAGGGAGGGTGGGGGTAAGGGGGAGAGATCAACCAAAGGACTTATATGCGTGTATGTAGGCCTAACCAATGGACACAGACAACAGGAGGGTGAGGGCATGAGTGTGTGTGGGGGGGTAAGGACACATATGTAATAACTTAATCAATAAAGAAACAAAAAAAGCAAAAAGAAGAAAATTCAAACTACAAAAGGATATCTAATATTTGAAAGTCTCCTCTCTGCCTGCTTTCTTTCCTGAAAACATTTTAGACATATACAGTATATATGTCTATATTTTTTAAATTCATGCAAAATGGACCCTATCATACACTATTCTGCACATTCTCTTCCCCACCTCACCTCAGTAGTAAACCTAGGAGAGCACTCCATATTAGCACAGGGAGATGCAGCTCATTCTTCTTAAGGGCTGCATGAGGATCCATAGTATGTGGATCATGATTTATTTAACCAGTGATAGATATTTAGACTATTTCTACTCCTTAAACTATGACCATTGATACTACAGTCAACATCATTGTATATAAACATCTTGGTGATCTTTTGTGACTATATCCAGAAGGTATATATCTGGCAGAGGGAATGCTGAGATAAAAAGTACAGGCAAAAAAAAAAAAATAGTACAGGCATTTTGTTTTGTTTTGTTTTGTTTTGTTAATCCTCACCCAAGGACATTTTTCCTATTGCTTTTTAAAGAAGTGGAAGAGACAGAGAGAAAGAGACATCAATGTGAGGAAGACACATCGATTGGTTGCCTCCCTTAGGCACCCTGACTGGGGATTGAACCTACAACCTGGGTATGTGCCCTGACCGGGAATCAAACCCTTAACCTTTCAGTGTATGGTATGATGCTCCAACCAACTGAGCCACACTAGCCAGGGTCATAGCTGTTTTTTAAATGTTCATTTTTACAAATAAACTTTATTACCATTTTGTGAAATTATAAGGGCATTCAGTTAGTAGTGCTGAAATTGAGATTGGCTTGAATTTACAGATTAATTTAGGTAGAAATGTCATCTTCATAATATTGAGGCTTCTTTCTGGAGAGCACCATTTACTTAAATCTTTTTTATATCCCTGAGTAGAGATTTTTTCCATGTAAATTTTTGAAAGTTTGTACCTAGGTAGTTTATCTTGTTGGTTGCTATTATATGGAATTGTTACTTCTCAGAAGCTCCCCTGGTGATCATTATGTACATTGAGAACCAAGGATTTAGGGCAGGAATACTGACTCATTTGGTCTGGATTGGGACCTGGGCATTGGTGTTTTAAAAAAAAGCTCTCTAGATGGTTCTAATATTCTAATATGCAAACAGGTTTGAGAAACTCTGATTTATAAAATTTTTCTGGAGCTAAGGAAGACTCCAAATAAATTCATGTCCACACATTCAGATGAGATGCCCTTTCCTGTGACCTTCTGTAGACCCTTCTACACACACACACACACACACACACACACACACACACACACACAGCCCAAAGTCACTGCCATGCTGTTTAAGCTTCCAGCCCATCTCAGTGGCACTTTACCTTGGTCTTTGCTTCTACCACTAGGGCCACATCTTCAAGACGGATCCCAAATTCGCCATCCTGATAGTAACCAGGTTCTGGAAGACACAGAGATGCTGGTTGCATTAAGCAGGGGAAAAACCTGAGCCCAGACTTCCTGTACCAATTGAGGAGTGGCTGCAGAGTATGGCTGCCTGGCTGCCCTTGCCTGGTGACCAGGGCAGACCCACCGCTTGTTAGATGTTCATTGGCTACCCTGAGGCAACCTGCCGGGCCTCAGCTCCCTCTAACCTCCCTTGTAGCCTAGTGGGGAAGACGTCAGGGCCCACTTGGGTCCTGGAGGTACTTCCATCTCCCTGTGTTCAACTGTTTTGTTACCCCAATAGTTGATTGGAGACTCTGTAGTTGGATGTACAGCTGGGAATCAACTCCCAAAAGCAAAATGAGGGTATGGGCTGAAGAGGCAACCCATTTGGGACTGAGAATGGGGAGTAGAAGGAGGGCAACAGTTGATCCCAGGTGTGCCTGTGCCTGCCATGTTCTCTAGACTGCAGTCCTGGGCTAGTCTTTGGGTGCAGGGTGGGGGTTGAAGGAGCCCAAGAGTCATACCAATGGAAGTGAACATGCCCTTGCCCATAGTAAGGCCGCTGGAATGGAATCCCACTGGCCCTGGAAAGGGAGATATAGGTAAAGTTTCAGTGCTCCTGTACTCACCAGCTTGGAAAGTAGCAGGCTCTCTGGAACAGTAGGTAACTGGAGATTCCTGGGTACCTCTAGCAGCACTTGTCCACCATGTCATTGTCTACCTTACAGACCAGATTGACTCTAGCTTTTCTTTCGGCAGGGTCTCTGCCAGTTAGCTACTAGGTATTGGCCTGCTACTCCTCTCTCTGGGGCCCTCCCAGATGCCAGGCAGGCCACCGGAGTGGCCAAACTGCCAGCATTTCTCACTTACCCCACGGAGCATCACTTCCCACCAGCTGGGTAACCTTGGATGGGTCACTGCATCTCTGAGGGTTTGGTCATTTCCATAACTATGAAAGGATCTACCATGTTCAGAAGAAGGAGAACCCTGAGGGAATGTTGAGGAGATACCTACACTCGTGCACACACAGGAAGTTGCCAATGCCATGGCCTGTCCCGTGGCCATAATTGAGCCCAACCTCCCACAAGGCTTTGCGGGCAAAGGCTTCCAACATTGGTCCTGGAAGAGAGATGGCACCCAGTCAGTCTGCTGGACCCCAAACTGTTCACCTTGCTCCTTTATTGCTCTCTTGTTTTAGAGCCAACTACCAGGATGGTGCCTGTGGAGAGGGGCTGCTGAGAGGCAGGTAAGCCTGTACTATCTCCAGCACACCTTACGTCGTACCCATTATCTGGACTGATGACTCTATTACAATTTCTCCACATCTGTCAAGACACCTACTTCCTCCAGGAATCCTCCCATGACTCCTGCAGCCCACACTAACCTCCCCAACCTAAGCTTAGATTCAGAGGCAGGAGGCCTAGCTTCAAAGCCTGGCTCTCCTAGTGACTCTGTGTAACCTTGGGCAAATAGTTTCTCTCTCTAGGCCGGGTTTTCTTATCTATACAATGTATGGGTGATATAATCCCTGCCCCTCCCCCTCCAGTAACTCCTCCAGGGTGGTGGTCTGAGTCTAGTGAAATCAGTGTCTAAGACTCTGGGTCCAGCCTGGTCTCTGAAACCTACCTGATGTACCAGCAGGAAAGATGAGTCTGGAAAGATCGATATTTCCTATCAACACGCGGGTATATGCCTCCTGATGGGGGGGGAAGAGGGAGAAATAAGGTGGCACATAAGAAGGGGAACCCGAGAGTTTCCAGCTGTTTGGCCTATGTGTATGTAGGTGTGTGGGCTCAGGCCTGTGTGTGTGTGTGGGGGGGAGGGTGTTGGGAGGGAGGTGAATGTTCATGTGTGGTCACCCAGGTTCTAGAACATGCCTAGAGGTGGCTGAGGGGGCCCTGCCCAAAGCTTGGTGCATGGATGCTTGTAGATGATGGTGAGCTGAGACAGTGACAGCAGGGGCTTGGGAGGCAAACTCCCTGGGCTGGAACCCTGACTTGGCCACTCACAAACGCTGAACCTTAAGCAAGCACCTTTAACCTCTCTGGGTCTCACTTTCCTCTTTTATGATGGGATGACCACAGTACTAGCTCATAATGTTGCTGGGAGGAGTAGGGAGACTCATGCACGTAAGGTGCTCCCGACAGAGTAAATGCTCAAATTGAGGCCAGAGCCCTTATTACCATTATCATGATCATCCTTTAGTTTTTTTAAGGTTTAAAATTTGGGTTGGGATCTGATAGTGTGCCAGATCAGCCTCATTTGGTCAGGGCTGTGACCTTGTGGAAAAATAAAGGAAAGTGGTCCTAGCCGATTTGGCTCAGTGGATAGAGCGTCGGCCTGTGGACTGAAGGGTTCCAGATTCGATTCTAGTCAAGGGCACATGCCCAGATTGCGGGCTTGATCCTCAATAGGGGACACACAGGAGGCAGCCAATCAATGGTTCTCTCTCATCATTGATGTTTCTATTTCTCTCTCCCTCTCCCTTCCTCTCTGAAATCAATAAAAATATGTTAAAAAAAGAAAAAAAGAAAGGAAATTGGGCTGACAGCAGCCTCTTTTCCTGGTCAGGCCCTATAGCAGTGATGGCGAACCTATGACATGCGTGTCAGAGGTGACACGTGAACTCATTTTTTTTGGTTGATTTTTCTTTGTTAAATGGCATTTAAATATATAAAATAAATATCAAAAATATAAGTCTTTGTTTTACTATGGTTGCAAATATCAAAAAATTTCTATATGTGACATGGCACCAGAGTTAAGTTAGGGTTTTTCAAAATGCTGACACGCCGAGCTCAAAAGGTTCGCCATCACTGTCCTATAGCAATGTCTCTCTCTCTCTCTCTCGCACACACACACACACACACACACACACACGTTTTTCATCTCGGGCAGGACAACCTAGGGCAGCAGACTCAACCCGCTAAACTGTGAGCTCCTTGAGGCCTAACCAGTGCTGACATTTTCAGTGCAATGCCTGAACCACAGTCTGCTTGCTGAACGCATGAATGCAGCCGCCTGCTCCCCACTTTCCCCAGAGGCCCCCTAGTGAACATAGATGAGGTCCCAGCCTCTGCATCAAGCAGGCCAGCCCTCACTGCTTCCTGAAAAGCCCCAGCTCCTTTCTACCTCTGAGACTTTCCTCCTGGAATGCCTTTCTTCCTCCTTTCTGCTGAGCACAGAGCTAGGCACACAGACAGCACCAAGTAAATATTTGTTCATTGATTTCCTGAAATGAGATGATGATAAGCTTGGGCATATCTAAATGAATGCCATTCACATCATGGTTATGACTACTTCCAATGATAGCACACAGGCAGCCACACAGATTGTGAAGTTCTGTTGGTGGCCTGAAACTTCTCTGGGGAAGAACCCGGGAACACTGGGTTTTGTGGTACTAACTTGCTGTGTGAACATGGGCAAACTACTTAACCTTTCTGGGCCTCAGATTTGGTAAAATGAAAGGGCTCTTAATAGAGTGATCTCTTGGGTGTCCCTGGAATGAGGATGGGTAGAGGAAATCTAGGTCTAATGCTTACCTTTTGGAAAGCAGACGGGGTGCCCCAGTGGACTGTTCTGGTGATGTCTGTGGTTCCGCCCCTGTGTAGAAGGAAAATCAACATGTCCAGCTCTGCTGAACACCTGGGGGTAGGGATCGTGACTGTGTGCTTCCTGTGTGCTCTCAAGTAGGGTTTGAGTGGCAGGGCTGGGACAGGGGTGGGTGGGAGGAAGATGACTGCCATCAGCAAATGCCCATCTTCAGCATTTATGGGTGAAGGAGCTGCAAAGCTATCAAGATCAAATTACTATATTGTCGGGCAATCCTGATTTTTCACAAACAGCTCCCCATTCTGGCTGTTTGTAAACTTGGCTTTGCTTGGGTCAGGCTCACTCTAAAAGCACGGCTTCTTCCATGCCTGGCCAGTGGTGGCTCAGTGGTTGAGTGTTGACCTATGAACCAGGAGGTCGTGGTTTGATTCCCAGTCAGGACACATGCCCGGGTTGTGGGCTCTATCCCCAGTGGGGGACATGCAGGAGGCTGCTGATCAATGTTTCTATCTCTCTCCCCCTCTCCCTCTTTGCAATCAATAAAAATATATTAAAAACAAAAATAAAAGCAATGCTTCTTCCAGGCTTTGTGAGAGGTGGGAGGGGATTGTCCCATTTTTACAGACTAGGAAACAGATCCAGAGACATCATAACACGCACACATCCAGATAGTTATTTACTATCCATAGAACACTTTTGGCAGCTCCCTGGGAAGGGAGAGAGAGCAGGTTTCACTATCTCCATTTCACAGATGAGGCGATTAAGGCTGGGAGGCCCTGTCCCTCTCTGAGCCTCAGGGAAGCCAGCCCTGCCTCAAGAACTCACTCTCCACACAGTTGCTCTACTGTGAACATGGATCTGACCCAGGAATTTGCTCAGAGTCCCAGTGAACTGAAGCCAGAAGCCAAAAAGTCTGACTCCAAACCACCAGCTGCAGCTGTTCCCCCAGGATGGCCCATGTGGCCACCCTGGGAGGGGGGAGGGGAGAAATGGTCCCAGGGCCCTGGGGACTCCTCCTTGGGAGCAGCTCACAGAGCGTGGCAGACTTCTTCAGAAGGAGAGAAGTGAGGTGACCATTTCCCTGGCCTCACCCTGCTCTGAGCATGCCCCAATCCAGCAACGCCCCACAAATTCACTTCCCCTTTGCACACTGGCTGTGCCCAGTACACAAAGAGCCACACTGGTCACTAGGAAAGGCTGCTGGGCTGCGTGCCTGCTCTTCTGGCTCCCAGGGCCGTGCTCAGAACATGCGAAATGCCTTTGTCATTAGCACATTCACCATTTCTACAAGATAGAGGATGACAAACTGTTTGAAGCTACTCCTCCATCAGTCCCAGCACCGCTTCTTTCCCTCAGTCCACTTGCTTCCTAGATGAGAAGGGAAACTCTTCCAGCTCCTCTCAGCTCAGCTCCTGTGTGAATGATTGGTTACATATTTGGAAGGAATGGGGTTAGCCTGTTCTGCATGGCTGGCATATCCGGGTGTTCAGGTTGTGCACTGTGTAAGGGTAACACATCTAAAGGAATGCCATTCACTTCATGGTTCTGTACTAATTTTAATGAGAGCACACAGGTGGACACACAGATTGTGAAGTCTTGGTGCAGGGGTTACAGCAACCTCTTAACATCAAAACATCTTACAGCAAAACATTGATCTGCTGCCTCCTGCATGGCCCCCACTGGAAATTGAACCCGCAACCTTGCCAGTGTGGCTCAGTTGGTTGGGCGTTGTCCCGTGCACCGAAAGGTTGCTGGTTTGATTCTTAGATGTTCACACATGCCCAGGTTGTGGGCTCCATCCCCGTGGGGGGGTGGTGCAGGAGGCAGCTGATCAATGTTTTGTTTTGCATCGTTTAACTCTCGCATCAATGTTTCTCTCTCTCCCTCTCCCTTCCCCTCTCTCTAAAAATCAATGACAAAAATCTTTAGAAAACAAACATAGGACAGTGCCCTACATGTGGTTGTGCATGCACTCAGGGGAGCACACACCGACACATACCCATGATCTGGGTGTCCCTTGAGATTGCTTCTCTTGCGGGCCTGTTGCTTTTGGATTCTGCCCATAGCCCCAACCTGACATGGTCACCTCACCCATGCAGGTGGGAGGGGAGGGGGCTGAGGAGGATGCATGGCTTGGCGGTGTGTGCATGAGTGGGTGAGAGTATGGGTACACTGATTATGCAGCAAGGCAGGGCTGCTAAGCATGCCTGTTCAGACTGTGTAATAATATGTGGGCTTAAAAACATTTTATTTGAGCCAGAGGAATTATCCTGATTCTCACTGAGGTGCTGGATGGGCAACCTTACTGTTTTGGTCTCTGTGTGTTTCCCACTGTG